TTCTGAATGTTCCATCAGACCCCACTGTTCCCATCAGGCTTTGTTAGGCTGAGTTTTTCTCCTCACAAAACTGAATTTAGACTCTCTCCCAAAGCCCAGTAACTATAGTAACAAGTTAATAACAACCACAATATTCTTTCTAATAGTTCACATCACATATTTTGTTCGAGTCCCTTGGGTTAAAGGAGCTTGAGCAGGTAAAACTATCTTGTCAAATACCAGCAATAGTCCACTGACAATTTTAAGTGCTAAAATTATCAACCAGTACTTTTCTATTGATGGTGTGGTGCCTACAAGATCAACAGTTTTACTAATTATAAGAGATAGAAATGCTGTAACTTATTCTACAAGATGACTTAGATTGCTTTCTAGTTTTGTTTGAACTGAACATGTGAGGAAGGTGCAAGCATTTATGTCCACATTTCTTCTGGTTAAGCAATGGTTACTAAAGACTCTAAGAACAGAAATACTATAATTTCAGAAGATTGCATGGTGTTCATGTATTCCAAGGAAGACTTTACCTGCAGGGGTGACAGCACCTTCTTGTACACCTCCCACATAGCCAGGGAGAAATTTATGGCAGAAATCAGGAATGGACACATACAAAACCACCTAGAAGAGAGAGAATGTATTCCCAGTAAATACATGCAAGACAAAACTCTTCAAAATACTATCCCTTACATACATATACCAAGTATCACATTTCTATTAAGTTTCTATTAAATACTGGGTAAGCCAAAATGGCAAAATTTAGCTTTTGTGATTTTAGACTAGTAATACATCTAACTTATTATACACCTCTAAAGATGTATTTCATGTAAGGCTGTCATCCTTCTTTAGTGGGGAGGCAGGAAAGTTGGTAACTACATCCAGTCCTCATCTTTTATTTTGATCTATTTCTTGTGTATTAATTTAAAACAAACGCCTATTGTTGTTATATAGTTGCTTTTTCTTAAAAACCTCGTTAAGGAATATGTCACACAAAGAATATTTGTGTATATTCCCTACATACTGATTCTCCAAGTACATAAGCTTCATTTGGATTCCAAAACAGCTTGGAAATTGTGAAACACCAAAGCGTAAATGCCACTGCAACATTCCACCATCCTTTGTGCAAAAGGAATCATCCAATATCTGTGAAAAAACAGACACTGCATCCAGATCATAACTCAGTAATGTACCTGGAAAGCAACCCAAAGGGAATAAATGCCAGCAGCCCTATAGGTCAGCCTGGGAGTCCTGTTCCAGATGTCAGACAGATGCTTATCCCCCTTCAGCAAATCCAGGAGTGGATCAGTCAGAGAGCACTGGTACTGGGCACAGGACATGATGAAGTAATACACTATCAGTGGTGCAAACATGAGCAGGAAAAGGATGCTTGCCAAGGAAAACCAGTCCACCTCCCTGTAATCCAAAACAGAGCATTTTGTTTCTCTGGGTTTCAGATAGATGAGTTACATTAGACAATTTTTTCAGTGGACCTTCTAGACTTAACTGGATGAAAATGAAAATGTTTTCAGGGCACAAACATGTCTGGGGGTCAAACAGCCATAAAAAGCTCAGCACAGAACATACTTTGACACAAACTGCTTTAAAACAATGCTGTCTAAACGACAAGTGATCAGAGCAAGAGATTAGATAAAATCTCCCCCCAAAAAGCTGATTATTATTACAAACTTCACATTTTTTGACAGCAATCATGGCTCTTAACTGGTGGAGTATTCTGTTGGAAGTGATAATGGAATCCCAAGAACATTATGCAAAGCTTGGAAACTTGGAAAAGACAGACCTTGGACAGCCACACATTGAACTTGCTGTGCCACTGTCGCTTGTTCCCAGCTGCAGTACAATGCCCTACTAATACTTGCCCAATTCTTTGAGAACTGGGACATGAGTCATAAATCTTGCTACAGCAGGACTTGTCACCTGGGAATGCCACAGATGCCAGGATGCTTGTTTTCCAAATCTTGGGAAATATTTCTTTCCTTTAAGGAACCAGAAATTTTACCAGTTTTTTATGATTTGCTTTTCCTTTTCGGAAGGAGTGTGTTTTAACCTAAACCATCTGGCAAACTCTGTGCCTTGAAAAACATGAACTCTTCTTCAGCACCTGTTGCTACAGCAAATTACCTATGAGCTTTTCAGTGCAGGGCAACACAAAAATGTTATTAACAGAGGGAAGTTTAAAAGGAATACAGCATATCTAAGAATGAAGCAATTGGAAATACAAGGACTACTTAGGGTCATTGGCTTCTCTCACCATGCTCTGCCCCACTGGCCTTGAGATGTTTTAGTATCATTTTGCATGCTTTGGTGTTTTATTTCTTCAGCAAGTTTTTTCTCCTGATGGGCTGCCATGATGTCCTGTAGGAAAGAAAATATGAATCCTATTACTCCACCTGCTTCTCAATGAGTCTTATACCTCTACAAGAGAATCACAAATAAAAGTTAATAAAATCTATCATGTATACTTCAGGCCATGTGAAATTTGAGGGTGGAGGAAAGGAAGCAAAAAATTTTCACCAAGTAATTCTCTACGAAGTCACATTCAGCAAAACATAATCAAAACACTGATATTAAAGTAATCCATTAAACTTCTTGCTAACTGGAAATTTCTTTTAAGATGCATAGATAATATGTAGCTTATTACTTACATGTAGATGTAAAAGGAAAAACAAAAGTTTCACCATATTCTCATAAACCTCTGCAACTAAACCGTTTTTTTTTAATTTGAGAAATTTCTACTGCTGTAACATCATTGGCACCGGACCTTGTCAATCGGATACTTTTGCTCAGAGCCCTTGCTCCATATATGTCATTTACACCACAGAAAACAAGATATAGTCCTACCTAAATCAAAAATCAGTGGGAATGGAGAATGATTTACTCAGCAACACCTAATTCTCTCAGTGGCACATGCTCTGTAGTTTTCATTCGGTCTGATCAAACACTTCTTACGGTAAAAACCATCATCCTATAATCTGAACGATGGACCGACTTCCCAGCTCGACATGCCTCATCAGCGCGAACTTGATCCATTACCTGGACATTGACTGAGCCTGGCCGTACCCTCTGCATCCACCACGTCCCTGGGCAACCTGTTCTAACGCCTGACCACCGCAACAGTGAAAAAAAAAAAAATTCTCGCATCTAATCCGGATCTCCACTACCTCGCCTTAAGGCCATTTCCTTTAGTCCTCACCCGTAGGCTTCTTTTCAGAAGCGATCTGAGGGGAAGGCGGCTCGTCGCTCCCCTCTGCCTACACGGTTGGGTCCCTTCCAGGCCCGATCCCAGACTCGATAAGGTAGGAACGCACCCAACTACGGGGTCGGGTCCACTCCCTCGCTGGGGTTCACTGACAGAGGATCACTCCCTCACCGGAGCCCGCTCCCCGCGGCCGCCCCGGCCGCCGCCGCTCCGACTCTGCCGCACCGACGGCCCCACGGCCGCCACCGGCGCCCCAGGCCCCGCCCCCGCCCCACGGCCCCAGCCAATCCCCGCTGCGCCCCGCCCGTTCCGCCGCTCCCCATTGGCGGAGCGCGCTCATCCCATGGGCCGAGGAGCGCGAGGGGCGCCGCCAGGAGCGCGGGGGCAGGACACGCTTCGGCCGCTGGCAGGAGGGGTCGCAAAATAACCCTGGACGTTCTGGAGGAGTAGGAGCTGCTCTCCAAGGAAATAGTTTACACCTGCACTTGGGTCGCAACATCCGTCCCGGGGCCATAGAGCGCCTAAACCAGATTGGGCCGCTTTGAGTCGTAATTAATCTCTCCACGTTCCACTGACCTTTCTGTGCAATTTCCAATGGCCCCTCAGAAAAAGACTTCGGGGTGCTGACCAAGAGCTGCCGAACACGAGCCAAGGTGTGCCCAGGTGGCCAGGAAGGACAATGGCATCCTGGCCTGTGTTACCAATAGTGCGGCCAGCACGACCAGGGCAGTGACCCTGTTGTGAGCACCGCTGAAGCCCCACCTCAAAGCATGGGGTCCGTTTTGGGCACCTTAATCCAAGTCATTGAGTTGCTGGAGTGTGTCCAGAGAAGGGAATGGATCTGGGGCAGCATCTGAGGGGACGGGGGGGAGGTATCAACCTGGAGAAAAGGAGGCTGAAGAAGGGCATCTTCTTACACTCTACAACTACTTGAAGGGAGGCTGTAGCCTGTCGGCTCTTTTTCCAGGTGACAAGCAACAGGAGAAGAGGAAATGGCCTCAAGTTGCGCCAAGGCTTGTTTATATCAGATATTAAAAAGTTTCTTCATGGAAAGCGTTGGCAGGCATTGGGACAGACCGCCCAGGGCGGTGGTGGAATCACCATTGCTGGAGGTAAAAGCCGTGTTGTATGTGGCCCTTGGGGACATGCTTTAGTGGTGGGCTTGGCAGTGCTGGGTTAGTGGTTGGGCTCAGTGGTCTTACAGGTCTTTTCCAACTTAATGATTCTGATTCTAGTACAGAAAGGAGTTAGACTCGTGTGTGTAAGGCAGCTCACGGCAGCCAAATATATGATGAGGGACATAAGAGAGGATATTGGACTTTGAAGAAGTCACCCTCTCTGGGGTCAGCACGCTGAGAGCTGCCAGAACGATGCTGAAATGAGAACAACACACAGAACGTTGCACCCTGTTCCAGTTACCTTCAGTACTCACACTCTGAAGTCGGTTTGAGGGACGGACACTTCTTAACTTTCTTAGCTGCAGGGCTAAGAAATGAGCTAAGGCTATGTTCTCGTCATTCAGGGCTCTGGGGACAAAAAACTGCGGAAAACGCGTACGGGTGTGCAGCAGCACCCGGCGCCGGAGGAGCCGCAGCGCGATTGGACACCAGGTCTGCATGGAGCCGGTGCTTGAAGCGCTGACGGCACCGAGCTGCTGCCAGGGCCGGGAGGAGGGACCGGCAGATGGGGCCGGGAGGAGGGGCCGGGAGGAGCGGCAGGAGGAGCGACCGGAGGAGGGACCGGAGGAGAGGCCGGGAGGAGGGGCCGGGAGGAGGGGCCGGCAGCCCCCCGCCCAGCAGCCCCGGCCCGGTGCCGTCCCGGAAGCAGTGGGGAAGGCGGCACGGTCGCCATGGGCCGGGCAGTGACCGTGGCCACCTGCGCCCTCAACCAGTGGGCTCTGGACTTCGAGGGCAACCTGGAAAGGATATTCAGAAGTGAGTGCCGAGATGGCTGGCTGCCCCCGGCCATCAGGAACCCTCTGCCGCTCCCTCCTTCCCTCCTCCCGCGGGCGGGGCAGCGCAGCCCGCGCCTGTTTCACGCACTGCGCTCCCAACACTCTTCCAGGTATCGACATCGCCAAGAGCAAAGGAGCCCGGTACCGGCTTGGGCCAGAGCTCGAAATCTGGTAAGGGCTCTTTGCTGGAGCTGGGTTTGGTGCGATTCCAGTTAACTGTGGAAGAACAGTCCGGAAGAGCATCAGCTCCGTGGTGCTGCAGTGCCCAAAGCCGTACTTAAGCATGCGGCTGTTGGTGCAAAGAAAAGCACTGTAGTTGTGGGCACAGGATTGAGTCTCTTGTCTTGGAAACCTAACTGGTAGCGAAAATTTTTGACCTATTTCAGTGAGTTTTCCTTCAGGGGAAATGTAGTGCATTGATTTCTGCCTGGGCCCAGGCTGCTGTCCTTGGAAGGAATATCATGGGGTGATACAAAACACCACAGAGTTTTAAATTCTGTAAGTAGGGATGGTGTTGACAGCACTGCTTCTTCATTTCCTGTATAAATTTTCTATGTGAGTGAAATGTTCCCTGTCTGAAGTAGTCATGATTATTTGGCTCTGGTGCTGATCTGTCTGAATTTTTGATTTCTCCTTGTTTATATACACAGTGGTTATGGCTGCTCAGATCATTATTATGAGTCAGACACACTCTTGCATTCGTTTCAAGTTCTTGAAAAGCTCTTGGAGTCTCCAGCAACTCAAGATATTATCTGTGATGTGGGAATGTAAGTTTTTTTTTTGTTGTACCTGTAATAAATGGATAAGTCCTAAGGGAATGTGCCATGCTGTGGATAGTGAGGGCTCTGCACCAAACTTTCAAACATATCTTAGGAACTGCACTACTTTTACCCTTTTGATTACCATGACCAGGTCTGCAACTTGCAGAACACTTTCTGGAAGATAATCCTTCCAGAGATTGTTGGTGGCTGAGCCCTTCAAGAGAGAAATAGGATAATTACAGTTATATATTGGAAACCTTAATGTCTGGTCCTTAGTGCCACGGGTCAGACTTTCTGTGAGGTGTAACTCAAAGGGGTTTATAAATTGACTGTCTTGTAGGAATGTGGGGGCTGCTTTCACTGACAGACATCTTAAAGCAATGTAAATGTATGTGAAAATCGCTGAAGCCATTCTAAGCCTTGTGCTGACATGGAAGAGTGATAAATTATATCTGTAAAATTTGCATGTTAGTATTGTGTGGGGTGCCCCCCCCCCCCACCCAGAGAAGCAAAGATTTAGTTTTACATAAGCATTGTTAAAGTGAGAGGCGTGGCTCTAAAGCCTGGGAAAAATAAATTCCACCCTCTGCCTCGGGGGATGTGCCCTGTGAGCCCAGGAAGAGTTCCCCACCCCGGACCCCTCGTGTGGTGGCAGCCCAGGGTGTTGTGATTGGTTCTGTGCCCCTGGGGTTTCTGCCTTGCTCTGTTCCTATTAGACCCCAGCCTTAAACAGGGATTTAACACCCTGGCTCTGTCCCACAAAACCCATCACACCCTGCCTCTGTTCTGGGCTCTGTCTCTGGATTTAAACTGAGTTTGTTCCTGTGTTGAATAAATGGTTTCCTGAGCTTAACCAGAGACCCGTCTAGTTGAGTCTCATGTCAGTCACTGGTGGCTGTGACATCCCTGGACAAGACCCTGCTGTTGCAGCTGTGGAATGCAGGAGTATTGATATAAATGTGTAAAGCTGGTTTGATTTTGAACTGGATTGGCAGTATCACAGGAGGTCACATTTGATTAAATAACCATACCCAGCCATGGGGAATCTTCTGGTCTGCGCATGTTCCTAAGGCTCAGGTAGCAGCTGATATATCTGAGATTGACAGCACAGTCAGTAACTCTGATTTTTTCAAACAACTACTTTAACTAAAAAAATTAGAAGCTAAAACTTGATATATTGTTTTGTTTGATTCTCTCTAGTGAGGTCTTATGAATAGTTTTTATGCAGTAAAGAATTTCTGTAGCTTTTTATTATTGCATTTAGTGAGTGCAGTCACTGCTAATTTTGCTTCTTATTTTCACAGGCCTGTTCTGCACAGAAATGTTCGCTACAATTGTCGAGTGATCTTTTTAAATAAGTAAGTAGTTCTTGATGTGTTTTGTGAGGTAACACATCTTTTCAGACACCAGTTTGGCCTTCAAGCAAGATTCTTCGGTGCTATGTAGAGTGAGGGATTTATCTTCTTATTTGCTAAATTTAGAGAGAGACAACTAAGGTTTTTCATTATCTATTTTTTCTTTTTCTGATTTATGGAAACTAAATTCCCACTGCTTTCTGAAAGAGCTCAGTAAAACCCCTTGAGTCTGCAAACAGAAACTTTAAAAATGTTACATTATAAAAGAAGAAAAGGAATTGATCTTAATCAGTGTTCATGTATAGTGATCTTAATCAGTGTTCATATATAGCCTTGTTTGGCTGTACATCGTATGTTAACTCAGCTTTTCTGTTTTGTTTTATGATTTAAGGAGGATTCTTCTGATCAGACCAAAAATGTCACTGGCAAATACAGGAAACTACAGGGAACTTAGATGGTTCACCCCATGGAGCAAAGCAAGGTATGCTGGCAGCTGTTAGAATTGTGTTAAAAAACACAGCTTGCTGTTTGCAGCCACAGCAACAGGGTTGAAATATCTACAGCAGGTCATCACTAGCTGCTACAGGGAGAACAGCAACACAGAGTCAGCCAAGCTATGTGGTTGCAGCTTGGTTAGGAAGCTTATTGGGTAGTCAAACTCTGAGTTGCTGAACTGGAAGAAAATGTGGGGCTGCTTGATCCTACAGCCAGTGTAAAGTGTAATTTTCCTGGTATGTGCTTTCTAAGAACACCCAGCTCAGGACTGGAAGAGGCTGTGTATCTCCTGAATTGCTGCATCCCACTACTGAACTGGCAAATGTTGAAATGGATGAGCTCTGTCAGAACTTCAACTGTAGGGAATAAAAGCTGCCTACCTTATGATGCTGCAGAACATGCCTGGCACACATCTCTGATGCTGTGCACTGATCTTGTAGTCAGGGAATATTTCTAACTTGACCGTCCCAGCAAAGTACTTCTCGTCCCTCTTCTGAGCCCCAGCTGGTTCTGCCTTGCTCGTGTAGTAACCCTGCAAAAAGAGAAACTTCCATCTGGCATTTGACTTGCATGGTGTGTTCTTTGTTAGGTCTGTTTTCTAGCTAGGATGGGGCATTGGTTACCATGCCTTTCTGAAGCACAGATGATGCTATGTTAAAATGTTAGCATTTATGATTAATTCCACTGAGAATATGAAGGTATTTTTTCATCTTTTTAAACACACACAGCTCTGTACAACTTCAATATGGTTTCTTTAACCAATGTTAGAAGGTGAGATGAGAACCAGTTCTTATGCTGTGATTTATGTAATGATGTATTTACAATATACTTGATTTAGGCATGTAGAGGAATATTTTCTACCCAGGATAATTCAGGAAGTGACTGGACAGGTAAGTTGGGCTTTTTTTTTTTTTTTTTAATTTAGCATGTTCCAGATTCAGCAATTAAAAACTGTAGCCCCCAGAATTTTTCTGCCAGTCATATTGTAGATTCATATGTTTCAGTGGTGGTTCTAAGTTACATTAAATGAAAGCATAATTTAACCTTATTTATGTTAGTACGCAGCAGCAAAGCAAGTAAATTTTAAATCTGCCTCAGTTATTTGTATATACAGAACGTTGCCATATTTTGCATAATTTTGGTACTGAGTTTATCTGTGCTTCGAATTGAATATGTGTTTTTAGGTTAAAAAAATTAAATTAAAAAATCATTTAAACCTTGTTAATTCAGAAGGATCTAAAATTTATGTTATTTCCCACAAAGCAGGAGTGTGCTTTCTAGCAACAGACAGATTCTGTTTTGTAGATTGTTTAATTCCTGTCCTTAAGCAAAGCACTGGATCTGAATATTACTGAAATTAAAACACAAAATTTCAATCAGTCCAGAAATTTGCATTACAGAATTTTTAATTATTTTTTTAATCAGACTTGGTATAAAATGAAAGAAAGTATAATGTGATTTATATTATGTCACTAATTTCACATAAGTGATCCTTCAATTTTTATATTTTCTTAAGATCAGTTAAGTTTTTGAATTGAATAGCTTGTTCTACTTCATATGTGTAAGAATGTTCTTGTTTTTTCTCAGGAAACTGTTCCTTTTGGGGATGCAGTGCTAGCAACCAAAGATACCTGCCTAGGAGCAGAAATATGTGAAGAACTCTGGGCACCAAACAGGTAAAGGAGAAGAGGAAATAAAAAGTAAACTACCCTGGAGCTGCCTGAAATAAATGTTAGAAAAGATCTGCTTGTTATCTTTCAGAAAGTGCCAGTAAGATAAAATATAATTAGGAGCAATAAATACATCATGGGAAAGACCTCACTAGGCTAGGTGCAGGATGGCAAAGAAATGTGGTTAAGCTAAATCAATTCAAAACGGAAGGTAGGGAATGGTAGGTAGTACATAGAATGACAGGCAACTCTAATGGTCACATTCCTCATATTTTTCTAAATCTCCCAGTTATATTAATTTCCTTGTAACTGCAGAAGGTGTGGTGTATCAAAGATGTGATTTTTTTTTCAGTATTTCTTTCTTATGACATTGAAAAAAGAAAAAAAAAATAGTAAAAATCTTCTCCTTGTGCCGCGGTGGCGGAGAGCCCGGAGCACCGCGACTTCTCCAGAAGCAGCCTTGAGAAAGGCTGGCCCGAAGCGCATGTGAGCAGCTTCGAGCAGTCGAGTGATTCCAGCTCAGCTCAGTAATAGTATAGTGATTTCAGCTCAGCTCAGCTCAGTGGCGGCGGTCAGGCGACACAGGAAGCAGGGACGAGAAAGCTGGTCCAGCGTTCCACCGAAGCACAACCTTTATTTAGGCAGAGCTCCAGTGAAGGGTGCCGGTAACAGCGAATCTGCCGAACAGGGGAAAACCCGGGATATTTATGGAGAAGGAGAGGGGCAGGGGGAAGCCTGAGATACCTGTATCGGGGTGGGACAGCAGGGGAGAACACCAATGAAACACAACAGTTTAACATATCTAACTCAAAGACCCCTGGGAGCGACACATTGTGTCTCTCTCACAGAGAAGTATCTCCCCTCCAGGGGAGAGCCAGTATCTCGGGCTCGGGGGGCGCCTCCATACGCACATCCTTGTGGTTCTGTTTTTTGATTTACAAAGAGACAAGAAAAATGGGACAACTGACTTCGCAGTGTATATCCATGCTGCCCTTTCAGACCAAGATTACGTTATTCTCTCTTTCTTTGAGGCTTGGCCTTCTATAGAGTAGAAGGCATTTCATTTAGTACAGAATGAGCAAAAGCCCTCCTGACCTCTGCAACCACTCTTGACAGAAGAGTTGGGCAATGCAAGAAAACGGGTGTTTTTGGAAGCCCTATTCTTGTTTGAGCTAAGGCATGCATAAAACTGACAGTGACATAGATGTTTCTGTTTATCAGTGATTTTTAATGATATTTTCAGTTTTCACAGCACAATAGGGATTTATTCTTGTGCCTTTTGCTTTGACAGCCCTCACATTGAGATGGGACTTGATGGCGTGGAAATTTTCACCAACTCTTCCGGGAGTCACCATGTGCTGCGGAAGGCTCGTGCTCGGGTGGATCTGGTGAATTCTGCCACAGCAAAGGTGTGCACTTTTCTACCTGGAAAGTTCTGTTTGTTTTAAAAATGAGAAGATGTTAAGTATTTGGTCTGTAGTCCTGTCTAACAACGATGGGGACAAAAATGAAGCAATAAGTGTACATTACACTGTGAAAAAGCTGCTTTGTCATTGTAATTTAACATGCTTTGATTATATTTATCAAAATCTACTCTCTGCTCTGCTATCCAAACACAGCTTCTGTCATCATCTTCCTGCTTTTCCCAACCTCAATTTGAACTCAGAATTTCAATTTAGAAGTGCAGCTCTCTCTGTTTGCATTGAGGGAATAACTCTTGCTACTGATAGAGACTCCTGTCAAGAGAGAATCCCAGCCATAAATCATTCACAATATAAAGGGAGAGGAAGTTTGCAAGAAGGGCAGGAACAGAGAAATAACATTTTGATTTTTAACATCCTGTCAGGTGCTATATTCTGAACAGCTTTTGTTTTTTTTCTTCCCTGCATGTTTGTTTCCCTGGCAGAATGGTGGAATATATATTTTAGCAAACCAGAGAGGCTGTGATGGTGATCGTCTGTATTATGATGGCTGTGCCATGATTTCTATGAATGGAGAAACAGTTGCACAAGGATCCCAGTTTTCACTCGATGATGTGGTAATGTTTTCACCCCATAGCTGCTAGCTCATCTATGCTCAACATTTCCCAGACATTCCAGACTCTAGGTCCACGTCTCTAGACTAAAAAGGGTGTATTTTAATTATGCTACTCAACTAGATCCAAGTGTTTTCCTAGTCAGATTACCTACAGTAGCTCTTCTGTTTTTGTGAGGAAGAGCTGTCACGTGGAATAACTTAATGAAAACATTTTTGTATGCAATCACCATAAGGAGGGGAGACTGTTGATTGAGATTCCCTTATCTAGAGGAAGAAAGGGCAAAGACTGCAATGTTCTGATTATGACCCAGTTTTGTAGGTTTCATAAGGTTTCACTTTGATTTCAGAAAAAAGTAGATTTGTCATCTAGGTTTCCTCACATTATGTGCCAGATCCACCTCTTTCCCCAGTAACATTTCTTACCTTTTCCTTTGCCACAGCTGATGCTGAATCTTTTGCCAAGCATTTTTTGTCTGTGTAGAGTGATCTAATGTTGAAAGTTTTTCCATAGGAGGTGCTGGTTGCTACTCTGGACCTGGAGGATGTTCGAAGTTATAGAGCAGAGATTTCATCTCGTAACTTGGCGGTTAGGAGCTCTTTGTGTTTGTAAACTGTGACAAGTTTGAATAGTTACTAAATGTAAAAAGTATTTGCATGTCTTGATTTTCACAGTATCTTACAGAACTAACGTTTTATAGGGATATGCTATGTTAAAATTGCTTTCTTCTGAATTCTTCTGTACTGTTGCTTAGGCAAGTAAAGTGAATCCTTATCCCAGGGTAAAAGTGAACTTTGCTCTGTCATGTCCTGATGATATAGCTGTTCCTACTTGTATGCCAATCCAGTGGAGACACCACAGTCCTGAGGAGGAGATCAGGTAATCAATCACTTAATCTGTTAAAATTATTTTGATTAAAGAAAAACCTAACCAAAACTCAAAGAAAGAGATAAACATAAGATGTTGTTTAGATTTAAGTAAAGGAAGGGTCTCATTGGAATACCACAGTAAATATGTTGACTTGTTTAGGTATTATTCCCTAACCTTCTTAGAACTATGATGTTCTGTAATTTCAGCCTTGGACCTGCATGTTGGCTCTGGGATTATTTAAGGCGCAGCAAACAGGTAAGAACAACTTGGTTTGTTTTTCCCTTGGCACATCCAAATTGTTATCCTGTGTGCTGTCATCCCAAACTGATGTTAGTCCAAGGTACAAAGTCTGAGTGAGGTAGCTCATTCAGACTTAAAAATCGTGTTCCATGTGTGACTTCAGTATGCTCTGTGCACTTTTCCCTTAGGAACTGTACTTTCTTGAGTGCAGCAGAATGACATGAAGTAGTCATTCAGTGTAATAGTAAAGGATATATGAAAAATGTAATCTTTTTTACTAGTATTCCTGTCTTACTAGAGGGTGAAGACAACTGGAATTTTTTCTAGCCAAAGGGTTTTACACTGACTACTTGTTTGATTATCCAGTTAATGAGTTTCAGAGGACATGCTTTGGATGGTTTGTTCTGTTTTTCCCCAGTAGAATATAAACAGCCTTGAACAATGCACCTGTCATTCTTCTACAGGAATGTGTTTCTGAGTGATACAATATGTATTTTTTTCGAATTTTGCTGTGTGGAACCTCTTCCTTGCTCTGTTTTCAAGGCAGGATTTCTCCTACCTCTGAGTGGTGGAGTTGACAGCTCTGCTACAGCTTGCATAGTGTATTCCATGTGTCACCAGGTTTGCCTGGCAGTCAAGAATGGCAGTAAGTAGATCTGTATGTCTGGCCAGCTGTGTTTACTAATGATTATGGACAAGTTAATATTAGCTGGGTGCAGTAGCTGAAAGAGCTTATTAATGGCAGACCCTTTTCCTGTTGTTCTAATGGAGTCCTTTGTATCTCTTAAAAAATTCCAGCAAAAATGTGTGTCCACATTCAGATTCTCTGAATTGGCATAACAGTTTTCATTCTGGGTTTAAGAATTGGATGTGGAACTCAAACTAGTTTCTGTCTAGACTATTCTGTCTCAAATGTTGGTAAATGTAGTCTTCAGTTTATTCTGAAAATTTTCCCCTTCTGTTAAAACCAGCACTACAAAGCATGGCTAGGAATGGTTTAAGTTCTTAAACTGGCATTAAGCAGACTTCATGCTTTTAGCTAAGTCTTTGTACATACTGGATCATGTTTTCTATGAAAATTCTTTAGTAGATCAAAAGGATTTAATATTTCTGTACTCAAAATCAGGAGCAAGATCAGTAGTTCTTTTATTTGATAGATGAAAATTTTTGGGGGGCAGTTAGATGTAGTCATCTTATTTGTTGTTTTCCAGGATTAGAAGACAGGTGTCTGCTAGAGAGGGCAGGAGCCTCCCTTGGAATGGAAAAATGTAGACCCCCCTCCTTCCGAATTATTATAATTCTGAAATCAAGGAGCTCTCAGGCAAAGATCTAGGGATAGGAATGACAGTTCTTTACTAGTATGTATAACAAGGCAAACAAACAACAATAACTACAGCGTTAACAACAAAATAGAACCAGGGTACCCGTGACAGCCTTCTCGGCCGAGACGGGAAGGGATGGAGGAGAGGCTTTGCTTCACAAACCCCTCGGGCAGTCAGTCCCGGTGCTCCTGCAGGGCTCTGAGGAACACTCAGCTGGAACAGCAGGGATGAGCAGAGATCCTGGGCCAGTGGCTGAGGTGTATCAGCAGCTCCGTGGCGGTGCCTGGCACTGCCACATCCTGGGAGGACAGGGGGTGCGAGGCCACCAATGAAGAAGGAAGAAACAGCAGCTCCATCTGGGCAATGGAGAATTTTGGAGAATTCCCTTCTCCAAACTGCGACAACTCCCTGTGACTGTTCTGCTCTCCAGCCCAAGAAACCAGCCAGCCCCCAGCTGTCCTTGCCACCCCCCTCCACTTCCTCCCTGGGCCCAGCCAAACTCACTGTGTTTCACAAGCACCCAACAAGTACTAGCAATCAGGTTTCCCCACAACTAAGGGGCAAAAAATTCCATAGGTGAGAAGGAACAAAAGGATGGAGATCCAACCTCCAACAGTCATGTAAAGCTTAATTGGAATACGAGGGATGTACCAGATATTTGCATATCCTCTGCAAATGGAGGAGCACAATAATTTCTACTTTTGTTTTGTTTCTTTTGCTCTGTCCTCAGATGCAGATGTGCTGGCTGATGCACGCAGGATTGTGAATGATGAGACCTACATTCCTGAGGATCCTCCGGAATTCTGCAACCGTGTCTTCACCACGTGCTACATGGCTAGTGAGAACTCCTCTCAGGATACCCGCAACAGGGCTAAACTGCTGGCTGAGCAAATAGGCAGGTACAAGCCCACAAGTGCTGGGAAAAAGCATCATGGGCTGGCAAAGGCTTAGATCTAAAACACTCAAGCTTGAGAATGGGAAAAAATAAGAGAGGAATGGGAGGTAGGTTAAGTAGGAATGCTACATATATTATTACTTAAGCGTTAAGATGAGGCAAATTTAGAAGCATTTGGCAAAGGACATGGAATTTCGGAAACAGACTCTGAAAAGTGTTATTCTTTCCTAAGTTTCTTCATACCAGATCTGATATTTTAGCAGCTTTGAAACTGCATTTGATGGGTGGATGCTGGTTTGTTTTTTCTATTTTATATTGTCTGATTGTGCTGGTTGAGTCACTTGTGCTTGAATTCTTCTCAGCTACCACATCAACCTGAACATTGATGCGGCTGTGAAAGCTGTTGTGGGGATCTTCAGTGTGGTGACAGGTCGAATTCCCCAGTTTTCTGTCCATGGAGGGAGCAGCAGAGAGAGCCTGGCACTCCAGAATGTGCAGGTGTGTGTCCTGTAGGCTGAATCAGATCACACCTTTTTGAGTCTGTGGGTTTTAGTTTGATTTTTTTTTTTTTTTTTTCATTTTCCAACCTAACCACCAACTATGCTTTAGTTCTGAGTGTTGGATATCCTGTTTGATAGTTTTTGTTAATTTGAGGACTTGATCTTTCTCCCTCTGTTACTGGAGAAATCCAACTGTTTGTTCTGGAAGAAAACATTGAATTCTTTATCAGCTTTTTGGCAACAGGAGAGGCTTAAGGCACAGAGGAGTGTGGGTATTTGCTTAACATCACCCACAATTGCGGCTGGAGCTGGAGGCTGGATCCCAGGTTGGTTTGGCATTACTGCCATCCTTAGAAAAAGCTGAATTTCAGAACGGGGACAAAAGCGAAGTGTACTTTTTATAAATGTTTTCTATTAGACTAGAGGGATTTATTTACTCTATAATAAGGGTGTGGTTTATCCGCATACTTCATTGATCATGGATCCTTGTTAGTGTTGTTAGAGATAGCAAATGGCAACCACTCCCCAGTTGGCCAGGAGAAACTTCATCAGTCTTTGGCAGCAGCAGATACTGAACCTGGATTTCCTGAACACGTGCAGCCATTTCTCTACAAGATCATCCTTCTTGCAGTCGCACTTACCCTGCCTGCATTTTGTTCTTCATGAGTTTGTTTAGACAATTGATTGATAAAAGTGACTGGGGAGAAATCACTATGCTATGTAAATTTTGCTTTCCTTTTCATTTTGCTTTGCAGGCTAGAATAAGAATGGTCCTTGCCTATCTGTTTGCTCAGCTGACACTGTGGGCTCGTGGGATGCCAGGGGGACTGCTGGTGCTGGGATCAGCCAATGTGGATGAAAGGTTGGTGAAAATTAGAAATCCAAACCCAGGTGGAACAGGTCACTGTCATTTCCTTGCAACTCTACCAAATCCCTCTGTAGATTATTACTCAGTAGGGCTAACAACCTAAGAATACCCAGATAACAATGAAATTAATGAAAATAGTTAAATTGGCCTGAATGGGAAATTATGTATTTTTCAGAGGTTTAGCCAAAGTATTGCTATAGCTTTCCCATAAAATGCTGTTTTCAGCAGACCTTACCTGTACATTCACTAGTCTAATTTCCCAGTTTGTTGAATTTTCAGTTACTGTGTTAGGAATTAAGGTGTGAACTTTGATCTGAAAAAACAGACTTTAAAATCTGGAGTACTGTTATTAGAGCTGCATATTCAAAGATTAAAGCAATGCCTGTAAGACTGTGGGAGTGGTAACCTCTAAAATGTGAGAATACCGTGTGGTGGTTGTGTGGGTGTTTTGAGATTTACTGTTTTAATTAGTTAGCACAGTATTTTAATTGTTTTGCACATATTGACTCAGCATAGACAGTTTTGCAGTGCTTTATGATTGTTTGAAGTATCATCTTCTGGAAATTTCAGGGCTTTAGGATAGCCCTGTTGCAGTTAAACATGTTTGCTTTTAGGTATGAATATGTTACTAATCTGTAGTCTGTTTCTCCCTTTCTTCATGCTGCATATAAATTCTCTGTAGGGTCGAGGATTATATATATTATGCTGCAGTTACATTATTATTAACTGTTGCCATATAAAATTTCCTGTTTTGCTCAGTCTCCGTGGCTACTTGACCAAGTATGACTGCTCCAGTGCTGATATCAACCCTATTGGTGGCATCAGTAAGACTGATTTGAAGAACTTCATTCAATACTGCATTGAAAACTTCCAGCTCACAGCCCTCAGCAGGTGAGCAGTGATTCAGTGACTGTGTTTGTTAATTCCACTGGAGGAATTGTCTGAGCCAGGTGCTTCATTTTTGGGATGAAGCACTGTTTTAACAAACATAAGACTCATAAGACTGCACAGAATCGGTGTTTTTCCTTTTCCCTCTCCTTTACAGTATCATGTCAGCTCCACCGACTGCGGAGTTGGAGCCCCTGGTGGATGGACAAGTGGCTCAAACTGATGAGGTAATAATGGGCAGTGCCTTTAAAATGCTCTGGTAAGCCTTACTCCAAAATCTGGAATTTGTCCCATAACTTGTTTACTCTTATATTTAACCATGCTTATTGACAAGCATGTTATAAACAGTCTTAAAGCTGCCAAAAAGGCATTGGTTTCCCACACCTGCCCTAGTGGTGTTGACAATAGTTTCCAAAACAGCAAATTAACATTTTTTAAATTATTTTAGATTTTTGGACACTTAGAAGGATGTGTGTTGTAAAATTCAGTTTGTTTTAAGGTTTTTATAATATCAAAAGAAAGTCAGGGCTTTACAGCTATGAAAATGACTGGTGGCAAAGCTCTCTTCTCTCCACACACTTCTCTCCACACCTTTCTCTTTGCTATCTGTTTGGAGAGGACTGATAAAACTACCTCTGTGGCTTCCAATCTCCCAATTCAGAGAGATTCCAGTGGGTTTTTTTATTTCTGCTCATAACATTACTATGTCTTTTTGACATTGACAATTTTATTTTGTTGTTCCTTTGATTTAACTGGGTTATTTTAATTACTCCATGAAAGTATGGATTAAAATTTGCATAGTTAAGATTTTCAGTGACTTTCTGTGTGTGTGTGTTTTCAGGCAGATATGGGGATGACATATGCAGAGCTCTCAATCTATGGGAAATTAAGGAAAATTGCAAAGGCTGGACCATACAGTATGTTCTGTAAGCTGATTAATATGTGGAAGGAAATTTGTACTCCAAGAGAGGTAATATACTAAAGAGAAAAAAAAATATCATAGTTTAATGTTTTTGCCAAAATAGAGTATGTCTGGAGAAAGGTCAGGTTCCTTTTAGCTAAAAGGAATATTTCATTATTTTGTGTTTAGAGACTTTTCTACAGCTGCAGCAGAATATGCTGGATAAGTTGATCTGCATATCTTAAATGGAGCTTGTTATCTTGTGCTGAAAATTGTTAAAACAGTTGTTCATTGGGTAATTTGAAAACTGTTACTTCAGAATTGTACCTTGGGGAAAATGGTTTTCTGAAATACAGATGACCAGCTACTATTAAAGCATTTGATTATGTGTTCTGAGACAAAAAAAGGCTCTTGCTTTGAAAGAATATTTAGACTTTGTAAAGGCAGAAGACAGTCTTCAAAATACTGTGCCCCTCTAAATTTTTTCATTAAAGTACTAAGAAACTTCATCTGATTAAAAGCTACATTCTTTGTACACCAGGTGGCATCCAAGGTTAAGCATTTCTTCAGGATGTATTCAGTCAACAGGCACAAAATGACCACCCTCACTCCGTCCTACCATGCTGAAAACTACAGTCCAGATGACAACCGGTTTGACCTGAGGCCTTTCCTCTACAACACCTCATGGTCCTGGCAGTTCAGGTGTATAGACAAACAGGTAAATGCCCTCTGCTTCTGGAATGATTTTGTATTTAAATTATTCAAAGGGGGCCAAACCTGGTTACAGTGAATCTCCAGCAAAAGACAACTAAAATTTAGGGTAATAGTTATTACAGAAATAACTGTGATTGTTCTTTTCACATAACTGTGAGGCTAAATCCTCTAACATCAGTATAGGCTGTTTAGGTTCTTTTTTGTCATACTACTATGAAAACAAGAAAAAGAGAAAAATAAAAGAATACATGTACTGAGGACAGAAAGTAATAGTGTAAAAGTGTATCCAGACTCATGAAGTCCTGTGCTAATGGGAGAAACAAGCTTTTGTGTTTTGGTTTCAGTTCAGGACCTGTCTGCTTAATTGCAGAATTAAGACCTGACCTACATCAGCGTGGGGAAAGCCAGTGTAAGAGGCAGCAATTCACTGTGAGTGCTTCTCCAACCTGCTTCTGCAACAGCTCCTTTTTTGAATCTTAAGTTAGTTGACTGACAAATACATGTTTGCTTGAACACAGCATCAGTAATCATACCATGCTCAGTTTGAGCACTGAGATGAGGAGGGATTCAGGCAATAATTGGAACCATGCTTAACTTTTTATAGTTTTTAGCCACCCCTTCAAACTTATTTTAATGCCTCTTTTATGGCAGAAGTGCTGGGGTGAAGAATTTTAACATCTTGAATTCTTTTCTGCCAGAGATTTTTACACCCTAACTTAAAAGTTACTTTTAAGAATATATGTTTATGTTTTATAATACATGTTTATACATGTAATAAAATATTAATTCCTTCATCTGTGAAATGCCAGACATGTTGTAATAGTATTTTACTACCTTGAAACCTGGAATAAAAGTTACCACGTGCTTTTAGTGCTTTTCAGTATGTTATTGTAAAGTATATATGGTGGGGGATTTTTACATCATATTGGACTTTTTCCCACTGAAATCCAGGACAAAAGTTCTTTTGGCCTCAGTGGGAGTCAGGCAAAATGTTTTTGTAGGGTCTGGACCAAAGTGTAATTATTTTATGCTTACACTAAATATGATTAAGATTTTTTAATGATGGTATTGTTATACTCTCTAACTAGATTTGTATGTAATAGCGGTTGTGCTCTGCAAGGGTAGTGGCCATTGCAACTTATTCCTGGAAACTGGGAGACAAGTTTGGGGAAGATTTTAATGTGTGGATAAGAGTAGCCTGAACTAGTAACTCCTGCAGATTTTTGCAAGACATGAAAATATTAACTTGCAGTGGTTTGAGTCAAATCTGCCCTATTCAATAAAAGGAATACAGGAAGAGTTTCCTCATTGTAGGTGTTCAGCACGATTGTAATTCTGAAGAGAATCACTATCTAGGACAGTGTCCCACTGATGATTCTGCTCTATCTGCACTAAAGATTTTTATGGCAGAGTAACGGGACTGTGAAAATATGGCACAAACTTGACATAAAACCCACTTTCAGTTAGGTAACGCCAGGTTTCCCTGTAGGAGAGTCTTGTTACAGGTCGAGCTCATTTGTGAATGGAAACAATTTGGAGTGCTAATGATAGAGAAATCTGTTGGATTTGTAGAAAGTACTTTTCTGCTTTGGATGTCTGTAGTGTAGTCAAGCCAGTTTAGTTATCCACCCATTTTTAATGCAAAATTCCCTTTGTATTTGCTGCAGAAGGAACAGGGGTAAAAGGAATTTGAGATCATAGCATTTTCTGGGAATTGCCAGATTGAGTCTTCATGGAGTCTTCATGTCATTCAGCTCTACTTGGCTGAGGGGATTTAGAACAGCCCTAGGAACTCTGGCAGTGCACTCTGTAGCTTCTGCCTTGGAGATGTGTCTGAAGTAAAGGATTTGTGGTCAGAGCACAAATGATGCACTTCAGGCGCCAAAATGTTCACTGGGATTTTAATGGCTGGTATAATTTGAAGGAACTGTGGTGCAGCTCAGAAGAAAGCCGGCACATCTACCCGCAAGGATGAGATATTTGCAGGCTGTCTTCTGCTTTTTCCAGTGTCACACCACAAGATTAGCTGCATTTGGTCAAGCCAAAAGATTTATCCACTTCATAAAAACCTGATCTTTCTGTGTCTCTTTTACAACCAGCAGCAGATGCTGATGGAAGAACAAGCTTATTTTTGCTACTGAATTGGTTTACTTTTTATTTGCAGGTATCCAAGCTAGAAAAAAAGGAAGGAATTTCTGTAGTTGAAGACATGGACTAACTTCCTGTCTTGTTTAACTGTGGCTACTAATTTGCCAAACAGAATGTTCAAGACTGGATTATACTGTGATAATGAGCAGGGATGACCTGCTTAACAGTTCTTGAGCTGACCGTTGTAATCAGTATTTTTTATTGACTCCCGTTTTACTCCTGATATACTTAAATTGTAGTTTGGCTAAGGGATCGTTTATTAAGGATTTTCTTCAACTTCTTGAGTTAATTGCCTTTAATTTAAAATATTTGAATAATCATAAATAAGCCCAGGGTAGTCTTTTGTTTGGTTATGATAATTTGGATATGACTTTTAAATAACATTCAGCTGAATGTAAAAAATTTTAACAGTTCTGGTATGTGCTGTTGAGGGGGAAAAACTCACCTTACTTTGCAATAAACTTGTAATTTTGTCATGCTAATTGACTCAATTCTTATTCTGCATGGTTTTTATTTACCTGGCACTGGCTTTGTGGACTGGCCCAGTGTTTTGAGTGGCCACAAGATCTAACTCAGCAAGATATTGGAAGCATGTCTGTCTTGAAGCAGATGGGTAATCTTCATGTTAGTGGGATCAAATTTAGAGTTCAGCTTTTTGTTTGAATATTGCAGAATGAAGTATAAAACCAGTATTCTCTGAGCTCAATTAGTGTGTCATCCACATCCCACCTACAGTTTGCAAAAACTTAATTTTTAACTTCATGGCTTCAACTGATCTTATAAATTTGTTCAGTGCTGTGGAGCAATAAAAAAGGATGGGCCTGTTCCTTTCCCTGATTTCCTTTTCTGCCTTTTCATTAAATGTTTGACTGTTCCCATTTCTTTTTTAAACCTTAATTTGAATGGTGCACTTCTAATAGGGAAAAGTAGAAATGCATTTCTGCAGTTCTGGGCAAACAACATTCTTAACTGCAACAACAGGAGAGGCCCAGTGAGACTTCTGTTAAAATAGTCTTACATTGTGCTAGTGGAAAACGTCTGCTAAAAAGGGCAAATTCTCCACATTTGTTTTCCACAACTCAGGAGTTGATTCACTTGAAGTTAAAGATGGTGCATTGTCCATTATGTGTTTGTTACATGGTACTGATTTAAATAACTGACTTATTTTAATGGGTGCTGCTGGTAGGAAGAATGGAAAACCCCAGCTGTGATTTGCCTTCCTTCACAGTTAGTTGGGCACTTCCACTTCCCATTCCAGCCAGAGGGAGTGGATGACTTTTGAACAGAAGTTCAAGAATTTGTTGTATATTTGAAGGCTTCTTATTTGTTTCCTCCGGAAGTTACTGGTTTCTTTTTCTAGATAATCATAGAAGAGGGAAGAGGAGACATTTGCTTTCATTCAAATAAAAAATAATAGCACAAAAATACAATTTTTACACACATTTCCTGTCTTGTTACAGTTAGTGTTAGTGTTGTTACCCTGACTATTTCAGACACTTGTGTTTCTTAGCAATGGCATTTACAGCACATGTACAAATTGCATTTTATTTCTTGCCTGGTAATGCTGACTACAGATTGTACCAGGTCAATCCTATTTTCCTTTTACTATCCAAATATTTTCACTGTGTCTGTTCCACCTGATGCCTCTAGTTCGACTGTTACCAACACTTAACTCCAATGTTATTCAATACTTTGTTGCCTACTGAGAATGGGAAATAATTCTAACGTGTAGCTGATGATGTTCACTTTTTACTGGAGACAACTTGTATTGGGTTCGTGTAGCCAGGTTTTAGTTGGGGAGGGCTACAGCTTGAGAAGCTCCTGGAAGCTTCCTCTGTGTCTGGCAAAGCCAATCCCAGCTGGCTCCAGGATGGACCCAGCACTGGCCAAGGCCAAACCAACCAGTGATGGGATTAATGCCTCTGATAACAGATTTAAGAAGGAGAAAAAGGTATTGTGCAGAAGCAATTGCAGCCAGAGAAGAGCAGTGTGAGAATATGTGAGGAGAACAGCCCTGCAGACACCCAGGTCAGGGCAGAAGGAGGGGCAGGAGGTGCCCCCGGTGCCGAGATTCCCCTGCAGCCCCTGGTGAGGCAGCTGTGTCCGTGCAGCACATGGAGGGCACAGGGATGCACAGATCTACCTGCAGCCCATGGAGGAGCCCACACCAGAGCAGGGAGAAGCCCATGCTGGATCAGGGTCCTGGCAGGGACCTGCAGACCCATGGAGAGGGGAGTCCATGCTGGAGCAGGTGTCCTGGTAGGACTTGTGGCACTGTGGGGAACCCACAGTGGAACAGGCTGTTCCTGAAGAACTGCAGCCCGTGGCAAAGACTCATGTTGGAAAAGTTCATGGAGGACTGTTCTCTGTGGGAGGGAAACCCCCACACTGAAGGAGGGGGGAAGGACTCATTGCCCTGAGGAAGAAGCAGAAACAATGAGAACTGACTATAATCCTGTGCCCTGTCTCCCTATGCCACTGAGGGAGAGGGGTAGAGAATCAGGAATAAATTTAAGCTCAGGAAGGAGGGAGAACTGGGTTGTTTTTAGGATTTACTTTATTTCTCATTATCCAGTTTTGATATGATTGCTAATAAATTCAAATAATTTTGCTGTGTCAACTGTTTAGCCTGTGATGGTATTCAGTGAGTGACCTGTCCTGGACCTTAATTCATATTTTCTCTTCATGTCCAGTTGAGGAGGGGAGTGATGGAGCAGCTCAGGTCAATCCACTGCACATCCATTATGGTAAAGATAACATCAAAGAGTTTTCTTTATTATCTTCAGCTGGATCTTACCCTGACTTAATTGGAAATCAGTGTTAAACTAATTTTTGACTAAACAGTGGTGCAGATGAAAGCAAAAGCTACCCCACTGCTATTTATCAAACATGTATAAAATTATACGTTCCTTTTCAGAGTTAAATAAAGGTTGCCCATAGAGACCAATTTTTTGTCATTTGGCTGAATTTGTGACACATCATGATTATGAGCCTGTTATCTCTACATACCACCAGCTCCCTGAAAGAGAGCTGGCCTATGGCAAATCCATTGTCCACTGTGAACACTGCTCCCTGTTCCATGATTTTATCTGCAATTCAACTAGTTCTTACAATTAAGTCACCTTATAAGGTGACTATAACATAGTATTGACTAGTAAATGTGTAAAATAGTCACTGAAGTAAAGAGCACCCAGGTTGATAAACAATGTGTAACTTTGAATTTAAGAGCAAAGTATGGGTCTACTTTTACTTCACAGCCTGGAATACTAAAATGAAGGATTGATAAGCCCTCGTGTTTATCATTATGCTGCCACAGGCCCCAGTATGTGGCAGAAAAGTGTTGTCAAATTTGTCCTGACAACTCTTCTGAAACTGAAGTTTTATGAAACTGACCAGTGGAAGGGCGTGTGAAGGGGGCCGTGAGCAAAGCGGGCAAGGAGCACAAGTGAAGCATCTTTTAACAGTAAAAGCGACATGAGTGAAGTTCACAGTTGCTTATGGAATGCCTAGGTGATTAAATAGAAATTAAGTGCTTTCTGCGACCAAGGATGTAAATGGTTATTTAGGACTATGATACTTGCGGGAAGCGGCCCCGCTGCTGCCCTGAGGCAGACAGCCAGGAGCCTGCAGCTGGCGTGAGGCAAAAAAGATGCAACTCCTCATCAGGGATATAATTTTTAATCCATAAATGACGTGTGGGATCCGCCCTCGGAAGTTTACGTGAAAAGCCGACACTTTTCTACCCCACACCACCACGTCTCTCACCGCACTC